TAAGAACAAATATTAAAGAACTGAAAAAAAATTGTTGATGCTGTTGACCCTGGATTTATGTATGGTTTGGGAGTATGTGAGGGTTTGGACGTGGCGGTGGTTGTTTGAGGTTGAAGAGATTGGATTTTTAAAAAACAAAATTTCTTTAGCAAAAGAGCAGCAACAATTTATATAAAGCAAATTGATTTTTATATTTTTTCGATCATTATTTTTGAAATAAAAACAGCAACTAAACAAGATGAACTACTGCTGCTTTTTTTTTTTCAGATTTTTTTCTTTAAACTAAGAACAAATATTGAAGAACTGGAAAAAAAACTGTTGCTAACCTTTAAGTGTTGTATGAAGAGTTGTTAAACGGCTTGGATGGGTGGTGGAAGGTAACATGTGTATATAGTTCGGATGGAAACGGTTGGTTTGTCAAGGGTTGTGGACTTTTGGATTTGAGAACGAACTATTTTAGGCCAAAGAAGAATGGCTTGCTCTGATACAAAATTGATACAGGAGTGCATAATTTGACAATGAACAAGCAATGAAACAAGTTAGAATGGGGTCCAAGAAGAGAAGACTTGAGGGCAAAGAGAAATAATTTTATATTCAAGGGTGCCCGTAAATTAAAACCTAAGCTCCATTATATAAAAAAGGACTTTCAAACTAATAAAACTTTATATTTTAACAAATTTGTAATAAAAGATAACATTGACAATATCAAACTCCTAACATAGAAAATTACTAATTCTACTTATTTCTATCTCTATCTCCAAGTGTTAATGGCCAAATAGAATCTAATTTGAAATGATTTTCCCCAAATTACAACTTTGAGGCTTGAACTGTTGTTACAAAACAAAGCTTTTCTGGGAAAAATGTGATACTGTCCAAATGGTGTGCAGTTGTGCACTCATCAAAGAACAAAGCAAAACTTAAAAAGATCCACATCAGAGGAAATGGTCTAAACCGAAGAATTTCATTCCTCAGAATCCACTGTCCTATTCTACTGGATGATAATTGAAAAATGGATGCAGAGCATAAATCACTTCTTGACAACTTGTGCCATTTACTGCTCTATTTGGTGCGTAAGGGCACATTATAAGGATGTGGAAATTCGATACTGGAAATGGATTTGGCAGAACTGAAGTTGCTGGCTGACATATTGCTATAGACATTTGTTTCTTTGTAGATAATGATACAGACAGATACTCGTTATTGTAGATTTGAACTTAATTTGTTCAAATGCCAAAAGTACCACCTTAAGCTATATAGACTATAGTATGTAATACTTTCTGTCCTTGGTATTATGCATGCGGATTCTAAGAGATGTGCTATGTCTCAATTTGTAGGGGCAATTGTGAATGCACTTGGAGCTATTGTATTGGGGGCGCCTGTTGGCCTTCAGTATGTGATTAGTGTTAGCTGTTGTTGCTTTTCTATTTTGTGATATGATTTTTGATACAAATTTGAAAACACAGCATTTAATTGAGGTTGGACAGAAATGGCTCTGATCTATCATATACTATTGCAAAAAATAACTCCCTCGATGATTAGCGGTACTTGCACCCTTTTTCCCTCTAACCAAGATTATATCTATTATTTTCTTCCCCAAAATGCACCCATAGTTGCTAATTGGAAGGAGATGGTTGAGTACCAATTGTGCTATAGGGGTTTGCTTGGGGTATTGATAATGAAGAGACATTATTCTAAAGTCTGACCTCGACAGTGATTCTGTTAATATAATAACGTGAATAGATAAGTTTGGATGAGCTGAAGCTTATTCTTTGTATGGCTATTTGTAGTGCATAATATTTACTGATCTTTATCCTCTTTATTGCATGCAGGCACTTAAGAAAGACTCTCCATTGGTCTCTCCTAATGTCTGTTCTTACAGTAAGTATCAGTTTGTTCAGATGCTATATCTTGCAAAACTTATCTATCCATTAATATGTTTCTGAATAACCACAATTTAGAATTTTATTCTGAGATAGTGTGCTTTACGTTACTATTTTTGACATTTACCTGTTGACTTTTAGTTAAGACAAAGGTCCTTCAATTTAGTCAAGACAAAGGTCCTTTATGACTGAATCAATTTACAGATTTTCAGGTTAAAATTCCAAACATACAGCCATATGTCAAATATCTTGTTTCTGAAACGACATCTACATTCTGAACTCAAAGTTGCCAGATACCATTCGTATCACTCCCATAAATATTTATTTCTATTTTTCCTTGTCTCATGTTTTGCAATGCTTCATTCTGTCAGTTCGTCCCTGCAGCTTCCATTTTTGGCTCCTCGTGGACTGATTGGCATAGAATATTTGCTCAGACAAAGTAAGATAACTAACTAACTAACTAACTAACAACTGTGTTTGTATCTTTATATTGTTGACAAAAGAATGACACATATATTTCTCATGGGGCGAGGAATGGTCTGCTTCCATTCAGTTCATGTAACTAACCAAACTACTAACTAGTCCTGCTAACATGATAATGGGGTTATCATGAATTTTTTTCCCTCTTCATATTTCATATTTGATGTTTGTAGTTTTATCTCTCTCGAGCTTTGGATTCAGAACTTATCTGTGTTCTTTACCACCCCTTTATTATAATCTCATTGGTGTTTAAATTTCACAATTTCCTTTTCCAGGCCTATTGGAGCTATAGATTATATGATCTGCTTGCCTGCACATGGAGCTGCTATAGGAGCTTGGTTTGGTGCGTGGCCTATGCCTCTTGATTGGGAAAGGCCATGGCAGGTACAGATCCTTGAAATGAAGCTCGTATTATATTGAGGATCTAGCTGGATGTTTTGTGATCTATTGTGTTAAAACTGTTCTATTTTCACTTTCCTTATCGATGCCTGTAGGATTTTTGGTAGTTTGTTCGATTCTTTTCTTTTCTGCCACTGGACTCCGTTCTGCACACAGCTAAAATTCAATTTATAGATGCAATTTAAAATTGGCTTTCTTTACTGAATTTCTTTCATCAACCTTTTTTTTTTTTTACCTCATCGAAGTTGAAAAGAATGATTGACATGGTTCAATGGGGCTTTTTTTAAACTGCTGATTTCTCTTTACAGTAAATTGCAAATTAAATCACATGAATATCTCCGTTTCTTAGGTTCGTTATTCACATTAGAATGTTCTAATCATGTAATCTTTGCCGGACTTTCATGCAGTTTGGCCTATTTGTGGATAACGTTGTTTTATGAATAATGTTTTAGGCTATTCTTCTCTTCTACGAATCTAGCTAGTATACTACTTCTCTTGGCTAAAACACGAGGCTTGGTTGATAACTTTTTTTTTCTGATGATGATTTGTGAACAAATTGACATGATGAGCAGGAATGGCCAATTTGTGTGACTTACGGAGCTATTTTTGGGTACTTGGCTGGAATGATGACATCGTTTGGTTTCATCGTCTTCAAAAACTGGCGACGTCATGTCAAAAGAGACTAGTTATGTTCTAAGAGTTACATGTTGAGTACCCTAAGTGTGCCTTAAGCTCGTAAAGTTCTCGGGCCAGGTTTATCGTGTTTATGTTGTTATGAAGAGAATTTTTTTGTCTCACACTACCTACCAATGTTGACCTTTTAGAATTTTGAAACAGGTGCTAGTTTTTATAAACTCCCACAATACCAGTTTTTTCAATGACTCACAAGAAGATTTTGAGAAATGGATCAAGCATAATTAATTGGCAAATCTTGTATTATTGTTGATTTCTTCGTACGTTTTGTGATCATTTCCTTGTGGAATTTTTGTAAAAAAAATTTAGAATGGGTTATTAGTAGGGCTGTCAATGGATTGAATTTTGATCCGAATCCGATCCGAATCCGACGAAATTAAAGGGAGATGAATTTAGGGTCTCAGTCCGATAATTCAATCAAGATTCGAATCCGATAATCCGTTAACTAAATGGATCAAATACGGATATAGGTCAATCCGATCCGAT